GTGCAATACATGCACGTACATACAAACATGCAAACCCTTGTACATATAATATACTGCATGTTTGCAATAACTTTAACCTCATTTATGGGTTAAAATTAACAATAAGTGAACCTAATTCTCTGAAGACACTATGCAAGGGATCTTGCAGCTGGAATTGCACTTTAATGGTTTCGCAAATTATATGAACTTGCGTGTGATATGTTGTCTTTACTGTACTGTAGGATCATTAAGATTCATGGACACACTATAGCAATGTTTACGGAGTGTGTGTGTGCATGCGCGATGGGATTTCCACAGCTTGAATGTCACCTTAAAAACGAACCGAAAAGACTGAAACTATCAAATTAAAATAAACTGAAGCTGAAAGGCATGCAAATTATGTGAGCACGCACACACTCACAAGATAAGAACACTGCACCGAGAGGCCCATATAGCAGTGCACTTTAATCACAGAGTTCATTTCATTTCCTCTCCTCTCTCCTTTATCACTGGCTCGGTTCTTATTCGTCTTCATAAGAAAGCAGAGGAAGAGGAGCCAGCTCCTAATAGCTTGCTGATTTACATGATGAGTGTTTAGCCTCACAGACAAACTCCTGGAAAAGGGGACACACAGATACCTTCACGCACTTTCTCCAACGCACACACAGGAATGTAATTTGTTTTCATATTACTAAGACAAAGAATCCAAAGCAGATACGGGCACACACAGGAAAAGATCTATACCCAAACACACACATAAAGAGAACAAACAAGGCAGGCCCTGCTATAAACAGATGAGTTAGCACTCGCACACTGCTTTGCTTGTTTAGCGTGTAACTCAATTTGAAATGCTAACACTGCCATACGCTCAGGGGTATGCAGCGGCAGGCCAGCATCATCAGCCCACTTCCTAGTAATTTAACTCCACTCTTTCAATACATAACAGTTGTGCAGTGGCCCCATATTTTACACACAGTGAATAAAATTAATTGGGAATTTTTTGGGCGCACATCATTTGCACGCTGGACCTACTCTGAATTGTAGATGAAGAAGAAGAAGAAGAAGAAGAGGAGGGGAGGTGACTGCAATGTACCACAGCGTATCTAAGTGTGTGACTGCGTTGGTGTGTGCCGATTCTATTCCTGACAGTCTGAGATGTGTGCATATGTGTGTGTGCGTGCGCTGCAGAGCTTACATGAATGATAATGACCCCTAGCTCCGTCAGTGGAATTGGAGATGCGTTGGGTTTTTGGAAGGAGGTTTGATAATGACAAGGAGGAGGCAAGAAGAATGTGTACAGTACACGCACATTACACTTACAACGAAGCAGGCAGCCAGTTTAGCTGTGGATAAACACAATTACATGCAAGGTTATCTTCTCACTGGCAGGCATGTATGAAGGAGTAGGCTGTGTAGTAACTTGATAATGAAGAGTCAGTATCACATCCTTTAAAAATCCTATACATAATAAAACCTATGTTACCAAATACTGCCAATAATCACCCTGTAGTGCAACTGTTCAACCAATTATTTAAAGAACTTGGAGGAGGAACTGATGATTAGGTCATAAGAATTTCGATTAAATTGAGTGAGGGAGCTCTTGCAGGACTGTCAGCTCCACATTTATGTTTGCTGGCTGTCGACAATAACAGGTGGAACTCACAGCAAGTGCTCCAATTAAAATCAAAATCAACCTGCCTGCTTGTAATTGCTTTTCCACCTCCACACTGTGTGCATGTGTGTGGAGTCGGTGCTAAATTTAACGACGTCTAAATTTCACCGACTGGTTTGGGCTATTAGTCGTGTTCTCAATATTCACTCATTTAATCTAGTTTCTTATAATTTACAGTGATCTTTATGGTTGAAAAAAAACCCCACAAAGATCCTGCACTTTGTGTGTCACAGGGCGGCGTGTCCTATTTCTCCCATGGACACTGGAGTACTTTGTGTTGCCGCAGAGATTAGATCGGGTGCCCAGAACCCATCGATATCCAGGACTCCTGTATTGCTCACAAACACACACATACCCATAGTGATGGAGCGAGCGGAACAGACCCGACACTCTCGCTCACTAGTGAATGGTCGCTCTGATGGACTGAGGCTATTTAGACACACAAACACACACACATACGCTCAGCTGGTGATGGAGTAAAGCCATTGCCTTTCCTCACCTCGTGCCCAGTAGCTGGCTGGCAGCCCACTCAACACTTGCCAATTGGAACCTTCCACCAAATCAACGGCACAAACTTTTTCTGGTGATCTCAGGACAGTATACACACCCTCTGTCACACACACACACATGCAGAGATTCACTTATCGATCTCCCCCCCGTAGACTCATGATGGTTCCCCATGCATCACACTTTTCAGGTGTTTTAAAAAGTTGGTAATTCTTCTAAAATGTGGAGTCCTTTGTCATTTGACTTGCCCTTGGGCTTACAGAGACAGTTAAATTCTCTCTCCTCTTCACAGCTACCGTTTTCATTACCCTTCTGAAACTATTCCACTGTGGATTAATATTACATTATTCTTTTGATTGCTTACAGTTTTATGGTCATGTAAGGATCATTTGTGAATTGAGCTTATAATAAGAAGAACAAAAAAAAGTTTTAGTTATCATTCGTTAGAGCTAAATATTACACCAGCCTCGATAAAACAGCTTTAAAGGGGCAAACATGTTTGATTGACCTTCATTAACAGCAATTCATTGTCTCTTGCAGACATCATATAATTTGTACTAACTGTAACCCCTGCAGAGTTTTGTACAGCTGGGCGTAGTGTCACTACTGACTTTACTTGAGAACATCTTTTTTTTTCTTCACTTGAAAAGAACACATTTCACTGTAATTTCCAATCTAAACGTGTCTTCCTAAAGAGACACCTTTTATTTTTGGAGAGTAAAATGTCCTTACAAGAGCCTGAACACTGAGTTCTGAAGAAAAGAATACATTGCATACAGATCTGCCGCTGTGCCCAGAATGGCAATAGCCACATTACTGTAAAAGATTTAATTATACTGATATCTTTGTAGAAATTATACTATTTGATATCAGAATTGTATTCACTCCAGCAATTAATTCTCATTTTCATTTTGATGATAGCCTTGGACAGATTTTTAGCCACAGGAGCAGCGTGGCTCTGTGCATGACAATGCTGATTTGTCGGCCGGCCAGTCTACCGCTTTGTTGCAGACAGAAGCCGTTTAACAACTAGTGAGGATGATGACTTTTCTTACAGCAGTACCATGACATTTGTGTTTTGAGCGAGCTGATGACTATGAAATTTGGTTCAGAAACTCATATTGTCAACTCAGTGATAATTGTAAGAACTTTGCTGATCCTGTGAGTGTGTTGTATTCATATTTTTAAAAAAATAAACATAAAGCAATGAACAGACATTTTCAGTCTGTTCATTGCTTTGCTTTATAACCAAATACCAGCGAAACTAAAGATAGTGGTCTTAGATGTACATGCTGATTGAAACATGCTACACAGAGATGGTGAACATGATAAACATCCACTTAACGTCAGCATGTTAGATTATCGGCATTCAAATTTAGCTCAAAATGCTGCAGTGCCCAAACACACAGGCACTAGTCTGGCTTTCAGCTCTTGATTCTCCACGAGCTGCAGTTACTCAGGATATGCCAATAAAGTCTAAGCTTAAAGGTCAGATTATCTTTACCGCACTGTTCCTAAAGGTTAAGACTGAACATTCATGCTGAAAGTAATTACTCAAATCTTTATGGAGTGAAGCATCTGTGCTAGAGTCTACAGTACAGTCTGGATAGACCCTCTGGGGAAAAAAACAAAACAAAATCTTTTTGTTTTTGTTTGCAGACTTTCTATGTTGTTTTACCAACTTATCTACCATATAACATCCAAAGGTGTCATTTTGCTAACAGTAAATCTTAAGCTCAGGCAGCTGTAAACACATTTTGATTCACTCAGCATAAAGACATTAAATTGAACCTAAAATGAAATATTGACAGATATCTTTTACAAAATTGTGATAAATCCACAACCTATTTGGACAATAAATACATCAAATGACAGTAAGATAATTGTGATGGAAGACTATGTTGTGCCTAATATAAGCAAAGATAACCAAAAAGTGAAGGAACCAAGAAATGTAAACTGCAAAACTACATGAAGACAAGGACATTTTCTATTCCAGTTTGTTGTCCATTACTTGTTCCCTCAATATTTGAGAATGTACACTCAAACATGACATAAATACAACTAGATATACATCAAAATGAACCAAAACCATATCAACTCAACATCATTAAGGATTAATTTAATGATTATGATAACAACATTATTTACCTTTTCTTATTTTCACACATGCATTAATTCCAGGAGAGTCCAATCAGTATGTGTGGCATGAAAATCCATGTGACAGATCCAGACAACCTGAGACTCAAAATCTCCTCTGGGTGCTGTTGAATCTCTGCGGAGCCTGAAGCTACTCTGTATCGGCCATGAATGGGAGAGTGACTTTGGCAACTGCAGTAAAGCATGTCTCAACTTTTACTAGCTTTTGTGTTACGACAGTGCAATCAGTTTGAAACCATAAGGCACAGTCTAATCCCGTGAAATAATGCTGAACTCTTTCTATTTTCTAAGCGTAAAAAAGGCAAGAATGACAGAATTGATTCAAATGCTATTTTATTCTTTACAGCTTGACTATTCACAGTTACACGCCGTACTGTCCTCGGGCACGGGAATAAAATGTGAAAAAGCTGCTATTTAGCTGTGTTTTTATGACTCAAGTCCTTGTGCATTCATGACAGACAATGCCTGAGTTCATTTTGTGAAACTATCGTGACTTTTTTTTATAGTTAAGCGTAATAAAGTTGTTGTTTTTTTCAAACATACAATAAAAGATTAAATGCCTCAGACATCCAGTTTGATGTCATAGCAGCCTATGTGAAAACACTGTGGAGTTGTACCAAACACTGGAAAGATCAAGCTGAATTTGGTGCAAGTAGAGCACAATATAATCGAATCTAAACCTGCATCAAGGTTCTCTTGTGTCCACTTCTGCCTTTCTCCTGCTGTCCTCATCTTTTATCCTCACCCCTCCTTCCTCTGCAGCGCTGTCATGTCCTGGGTCAGTATTAGATTCACCGAGCGCTGCAGGTGATCTCTTTCCTTCCAGTCTGGTGTTTTCTCGCCCTCCGTGGTCACTGTGGTCCCGCTCTGGTTCCCGTTGGGGCTGCAGTGGTCCAGGTCTCTCCAGGCACCAGTGATCCTACATACGACAAACAACAGTAAGAATATCTGAGCGCGACATAACCTCATGACTGCTGGGTTTTTAACCGATAAACTGCATTCATCTGGATTTGCTACGATAAACATGCAGTCTGGTCTCAGTGAAACTGTACACACTCATTAAATGGTAGTGGGAAACTCTTTAATGTGAATTACTGTCTCTGTATTTTGTCCTTGCTCCAAAACATATTCATAATTAACAGTGTATCCTTTAATAACCTGATATGCTGAATATGGATGTAGTCTTTTGTTTCCGGAATTCACCCCCTGATAAACACAAAACAGACGATGTACGAATCCAAGAGTGTGTAATGAAGTAATGTGAGATGAATAAATGTGGCATAATACGTCTTAAAAGATTAAAAGCAAGCGCACATTTATGAAAACCATATCTGTATGTGGTGCGACACATACAGTATGAAACCCTGCATGTTTACTGATGTTGTATTCTATTGTACAGCATATGTAGGTGTACATGAATTCATTTGTGTGTGTTCTTCTTTAGGTTGCGGTGAATTTATATGAATACATTTGTATGACTGTGTGTGTGTGCGCATGTGTGTGTGGGCCCGAGGCAAACTGAAATGAAGCAACACTCAGCAGACACCGCCCCAGGCTAACTTAATATGGGTCTCCTTTGACACAAACACACACACACACGCCTAACCGTGGCTTGATGCTGGGTTTCACATCCATTTCATCAACTGGATACTACCACCCACCAGCACGCTGCAGAGTGGGAGGTTAGGCTTTATCAGAGCCAGCCTGCACCGCTATACATTTCAACCGTGAGGATCAGAGGCCGTTACCTTGACAGTGTGGTGCTGAACAATATCTCCATCCGAAAAACAATTTATTTCAAACGGGGCAGGTTATGTTTGTGTGATTCAAGCTACTGCGGTGCACTTAAATGAGCTGTGTGCTTGTTTACCTGTCCGAACAGCCCGACGGTCTCTCCGGGCAGGTAGCTAAGGGCAACGCTGCAGTCTGATGATGAGGACAGGAGGAGGAGCCTGTCGCCGTGCGTGCATGTCTCCAGGTGAGTCACGTGATTGAGATGTGGGCGGAAAGTATGTAGCAGTTTTGGGAGTTCTTCTCTCGCTCCTTCATCTGGTTTGAGACAGTAATCCTGAAGCAAAGGGGGCAAAACATTAGGCAATCTTTATTTTGAGCGGAAGGAAACATCGACCTGTTGATGTGAAAGTACGAGTGTTAACTTCATGTTTTGTAAACTTTCTGTTCTCTCACATGAAAAGACTGATTTGACACTCATTACTGTGCCTCCTTTTTACTGGCTACCATCGACACTGACCGCTAAAAAAGGACAAATTACTGATTAAGGTTTGAGCAAGTAAATTAATGTCAAACTGTCTTCAGTATGCAATATATGGATACTAAGTTGAAGATATATTTCCTCGGAAAGTGGTTAGCATCCTCACCAGCCGACGATCCACATAGATGACTGAAATAAAGGAAAAGCACTGCTCTTGAATTACATTTCGATACTTAGTTTATAAAAGATAAACAAAAATGCTTGGAACAGAGATTAGGGCCCTGTGTGTATTTTAAGTTTTCCAAGAAAAAATCTTTGCTCGAGCAATGCATTTGTCTGGGGTTGCTCAGTGTAACCTTCCCAAATTCTAGTAAACAGTCAGACAGAGCCGCTGCAGTGAGGATATACTACATAACGGTAATGTCAGTCCTAAACTGGGCATTTTCTAACATCTCCACAAAATAATGTAATGTTAGCCAATGATGTCTTCTGACCCTGGAGGTAAGATGTTAACATTACTGCTGTAGATGAGGGATGCACATTATTGAATTTGATATTTTCCAGCTCATTTGCAATGCATATATATATATATATATGTATGCACAGATTTTCTCCACAGAACATCAAGTCCCTCCTGTAGTGGAATTAACAACTATCATACCTGCTTATAATGATGGTACACATGTGAATGTACACATTCACTGGGGGGAAAATATATACATATATTTTTAAAACAGTTTTAACTTAAATACCATATTTTTTTGTTACATAAAAAACTAAACTTTTTTCCTTTAATAATCAATTCAAAACATTAAATCATTCTTGTGCATCACTACTGCAGATAACAACCCAGCTGATCATACACGCCAAGGCTTGCATCTTACATAACCAGATAAAACACATTCTTTAATCAGGTTTTTTTTTTTTTCTGTTGTTTTTTTCAGCTTTGGAGAGTCACACAAAGGAACGCAATCAACTCTCTTACCTCCGCCTGAACACCACATCAACATGTACACAGCTTGACAGTTGGTAAACTGTGTTTATACGTACTGTGAAATGCGTCATGTTAAGGTTGGACTCTGGACTGAACCGACAAGTCCTGTGACTGAGCACGCGACACTATACTGTGCAATCATGTTAGTCATCCAGCTGATTCCAAAGCATGCTCCAAATTTGCCAGAGGACAGGATTTCTACCAGAGCACTGAGCTTGCCCAACTTCTTCAACCCTGCTACATATATACATAAATCTCCATAAATTAAACTGGAAGCCAAATGCGACGTACCCATCTGAATTCATCCGCTCTTATAAACTGTGACAGAGAGTTGAGCTCTGAATATTGTGGCAATAATACCCGAGAGGGTGTTCTTTTACCGCAATTATGAGCATGACAGTGATGCAGCTACGCCTCATACCGATGGCCCGATCAAAGTCTCCATAATCAGAGTCAAAAAGTCAAAAAGGCCCTTCTGAGGTATCAAAAACTCTTCAGTGAATAAATAAATGTGATGTACGTGATGTGCTCATATGATTGAGTGTCAGTCAACTTGGATGAAATTACTGATACTCTTTAAGGATGATGTCCACTTCTAATGCAATTGATATGCCAAAATATCTTGCAGTAAATTATAGTTTTCACACATAATTCCAAGCATTTAAGTGAGTATTTATGTTAAAAATTACAGAATGCAAAAGGCAAACAATATTAGTCTCATTCATAAGTAAAACCCCAAAGAGGTTGGGGACATTACCTCTTTCTGCTGATATGTCAGGGGAGATTTTCAAAATGATTGACCATCTTGGCTGCACTCTAGCAAGCTGCTGAGGCTTCAAAATGACAGACAGTTCTGTCATTTTTAGAGTGAACAACAACCCTGATCTAATGGAAATATCGAGGGTGTGCTCTCTCTTCACTGTCTATTATAGTCAGTCTCTTCATCTTTGTCCCTCGTTCTGGCTTTGTGTTCACCATTCTCCACTACTTTCTCTGTCTTTGTGACTCTCTCTCCTCTTCTTTTTACTTTATACACAAATTATCCACAGTGGAATGAGAATTGCAGTTTTAGTGTCAATTAGTATATACTCTATTGTGTTCATCACAAAAGAAAAAAAAAATGTACCTTTATATCCCACGTCTTGATTGTTCCTTCCCTATCAGCCGTGACTAAATATTTTCCACAGGGGCTGCCGGTCATAACAATAGATCCCAGGTCCCCGTTGTGAGCTGTGAACTGTCCCACCAGACGGCTGTATTGGGTGTTCCAGAGCTGAACCACACCTGAGCCACCACAGGACACCAAATCTGCACCACCTGATAAAAATGCAGAGACAGAAATGTCTGGAGTGACCACAAGCATCTGTTATTGCAGATGTATATGTGTGTGGTAAGTTTAATAGGCAAATGGGTGCAATCGCATCAATAGTACAAACATGAAAACAGCAGAATGGAAAAAAAAGGGGTTTATTATGTCCATCAGAGTGGACACATGGGGTATAAAATGTAGATTTTTCTATGTAAATGTACAGCAAGCAGCCAAAACATTAAAGCTTACAGGTGACGTGTGTAACACTAAACATCTTGATACACTGCAGTCACAATGTTGGAAAACCTTCAGTCTGGGCATTTATGATGACGTTACTTTGATAGGTACCACTTTCCTAAACCTTGTTGCAGATCAAGCACATCTTAGCCAGTGGCAAGGGCACTCTACAGTGGCAGAGGACAAAAACTGCTCAGGGAATGCTTGAGGAACACAACAAAGAGCACCTCAATGCACCAGAAAAAGTTTGATCCATGGAGACCCCACCCTGCAACCCACTGAACCCAAAGGATCCACTGCGAACATCCCGGTGCCAGACACATGAGCATCAGATCTGGACTTTGCATCAATGGAAGAAGGTGGCCTGGTCTGATGAATCACGTTTTCTTTCACATAATGTGAACAACGTGCCATGTGCGCATCGTTCACGAGGGGAGGAGATGGCAGCTGGATGTAGTATTTGAAGAAGACAAGCCGGCAGAGGCCACATACGCCCCTTCACGGCAACAGTATTCCCTGATGGCTTTGGCCTCCTTAAGCAGGATAATCCGCCCTTCTGCACGGCAAGGAGTGTTCAGAAATGGTTTGTGAAACGTGAAAAAGTGTTCAAGGTGTTGACTTGGCCTCTAAATTTCCCAGATGTCAGTTTCATTGTGCATCTGTAGGATGTGTTGGAAAAACAAGTCCAGTCCACAGTGACCCCACCTTAAAGGTCACAAAACTTGAAAGGATCTGCTGCTTGGTGCCTGATAACACAAGACACCTTCGGAGGTCTTGTGGAGTTCATGCCTCGACAGCTCAAAGCTGTTTTTGCAGCAAGGAGACCTGTTGTGGCTGATTGGTGTATGTTTGAATTTAAAAAGTGCCCGTATTTTTGAGTTCATCTGAACCATCCAACACAACTGAAAGAGATCTGTGACAACGTTTCAACATTGTGCCTGGAGAGGACTAAAAATTCTTTAAACCTTCAATATCTGTACAATCACTGATTGACAGCATTCTAGCCAGATTTATCTTAACCTTCTTGCAACAGAGTTTTTGTCAAGCAGATGCAGGGTCAGAACTTGACCAAGGCTGCTTTGGTTTCGTCCTCCAAAAGGCGTCAAGTTATTCACTTTAAATGAGTTGCAGCTGGCACTCTTGAAACCCAGAGACCCACTGCTCTATTGACAACAACTGTGTAGTTAAACCTTGTCAACAGACCCACACACCTCATTACCACAGTCAGTCTGAGCAGCTGGCACAGACCAAGCAGTTAGCAGGAGCAGCAGACTAAATCAAAATGTATTTAAAAACTCAAGTAACTGCACTCACACGTATTGTTAAAATATACAAAGAAAAGTAAACTTCAGAGCTCAGGATGCTGCATCTGAAAAGTAGCTAAAAATTGGAAAACTTGCCAGATCAAAGACTCATTGATGTGTAGATACCGAACAGTATCTTAGGACAAGATATCTGCAGCCTTTCTGTCTTTATAAAGTGTAAACACCATAAACATAAAGTAATGTGCATCTGTGTATTCGTCATCAAAAACAAGCCCGCATATGCAATGTATTTCATACTTTTTTAAAAAAAGCTTTTGATTGCAGAGCTCTTTCAACTTCCCAATGTAAGTGTTTGCATCAGCTACAATTCTTCGATACGCAGGCTCCCATATAGCAGCTCCAACTACTGGAAAGTATTAATGCAAGAAGGATAAACTGTATGTTTAAACGGGCTTCAACCTCAAGACAAAAAGGCAAAAACTCCCTCTGGTTTCTCATTTGGTGAAGTTTCATCAATATAATAAAACCGGCACAACAACAACAACAACAAAATTGGCAAGATGACGTGTTATTTTGGGAAACAGTGTCACTGAAGTGAAAATACAGAATTTATATGGGTAAAAAAAATTTGATATGCAATCCCTGCTGCTATTTTGGGAAGACTCCTGAGGCAAAGCTGCTTTACATTCTTGCTTACATTATGCAGTCTCCCATACCTTACTTTAACAAATAAAATATATTGTGAAGAAACCTGGCAAGGATTACACAGTTCATACAATGAAGTATTTACCCCGATTGGAAGTTTTCTTTTTATTAATTTTCGACACTGAATCAGTCGATTTAATTGGGCTTTTTTGACAGGAATTTACGAAAAACAACTCTTTCATGCTGAAGTGAAAACAGATTTCTACAAAAAATATAAAATGTAACATAAATGACTGCTTAGGTGTTCAACCCTTTAAAGAGGCACATAATTCAACACAGATGCAGCCAACTGGTGTTATAAGTCACACATTTAGTGAAATGGAGATCATACAGAATGTGTCTCAAGTGATTGTCATATAAACACACCTGTATCTGGAAGGTCATGCCACTGGTGAATCAGTACTCCTTGCTATAACTACCCCATGAAGACAACCAACACTCTAAGCACCTCTGTGAAAAAGTTATTATAAAGCAGAAATCAGGGGATGAATGAAGGATGTTACTGAATATTCCTTGGAGTACAATTAAATCCATTATTAAGAAATGGAAGGAATATGGCACATCCGTAAATCTGCATAGAGCTGGCTGTCCTCAAAAACTTAGTGACCCTGGAAGGGAGAGACAAATAGGAGAGGCCACCAAGAACCTATGACTCCTCTGAAGGAGTTACAAGCTCCAGCTGCGTAGATGGGAGAAGCTGTATATACAACAACTGTTGCCCGTTCACCAGTCAAACTCTATGGGAGATAAAACGGGAAAGGATAAAGCTCATATTAAACTCTCAACTAGAGTTCGCCAGAAGGCCTGTGGGAAACGCTGAAGTCAACACCAAAACTGCCCATCATCCCAGACACACCATACCCACTGTGAAGCATGGTGGTGGCAGTATCATGATGTGGGGATGCTTTTCTGCAGCAGGCCCTGGTAGGCTTGTAAAAGTAGAGCGCAACATTAAAACAGCAAAATATAGAGAAATCCTGGAGGACAATGTGAAGTAGTCTGCAAGATAACTGCGACTGAAGAGAAGATTTGTTTTCCAGCAAGACAATTATCCAAAGTTAGCAGTCCTAGTTACAAGGAAATGTTTTAGAGACAATAAGGTGAATGTTCCGAAGTCAGAGCTCAGACTTCAGTCCAACTAAGACTTTGAGGCTGGACTTGAAAATGGCTGTTCACTGACAATCCCTATGCAACCTGACAGAGCTTGAGCAGTTTTGCAAAGAAGTATGGGGTAAAATTGCAGTGTCTAGATGTGCAAGGCTGACTGAGACCTAACCACAAAGGCTTAATGCTGTAATTGTGGCCAAAGAAGCATCTTCTAAATACTGGCCTAAAGGGGGTGAATACTTATGCTTTACTTCACTTTGTGTTGCACCTATGTTTCTACAAAATATTTTGATATTAATTGACAATATTTTGTAGAAATTCATTTTCATTTTGACAGGAAATGATGATGATGATGATGATGATGATGATGATGATGATGATGATGATGATGCCGCCAAATTAAATGAATCAGGATTCATTGTTAAAAAGCAATCAGAGGACAAAACTTCCAATAGGGTTGAATACCTTTTATGGGTGCTGTATTTAGTGATTACAATAATAATAATTCACCTGTTGCTGCTGTCACAGATGTGCGTCCTGGTATGAAGAACAATCTGGTGATGGCAGTGCAGTTGTCTTTGCCATTCAAACCAAGATGAGAATCAAGCAAGAAGGTCAGACATAAGCCAAAGATTCAGGAAAAAAAAAAAAAGAAAATAATTAACATGAGACAAAACAAAGGGCAGAAGAACAGGGCAAATTCAGAATTAACTTTAGAAAAAAAATAATGCTATTTTTCCTGGTTTGGTTAGATCCTTGGTATGAATTAAACCATGAAACTGTGGAATAGATTGTAGAATTTGTTTGTGAAAGTGAGACCTTGTGGCTTCTTGTAGTCTTCATGTTCAGCATGTGGCCGCAGTCTTTTCAAAGCTCTTTCTGTGCTGCTGTTCCATATTATGATCTCTCCATCGTAGCTTCCTGCACACAGCATAAGCAAGGCAAAACAAAAAGTCACGACACATCAGAAACTTTCTTAAAATATCACTAGGCTTTACGACAGTCAGTTTCACAGGAAATCTCACTGTAAAAACTTTACAAGCTTTCTGCGTCCCATCAAGGGCGAAAGAAAGCATCGTCTTTTCAAAAGAAATGTAAACAAACTACAAAAACTTTTTGTCACTCTACGCACACACTTTTAACATTCCTCTTGCTGCTGAATCATGCAAACCAGCCACTAAAACCACTTCAAAGATGATAGGGCTCAACATCTGTCCCCAGCTGCCATCTGGTCCACCGCTCAAACCTTAACTTTCTCCTCAAGAGAAAGAGCATTTCAATTAATCTACATTATATATACGAAAGTGTGTGCATGTCTGTGTGTGTTTATCAGATAAATCGCATCAGGTGGTTCGACTGTCGAACAGCAGGAGTTAATGAGATGTGTGAGGAGTGTCTTGGCTATGGGAGGTAAGAGTGTGTGAGCAATAGGAGGTATAAAGTTTATGAGAGAGTGGGCCGCTTGCATTATTCATGCAGCCCAGGGCCAGCTTCTGTATTTCAAGCGACTTTTATCATGTCCTGTGTGTGTGTGTGTGTGTGTGTGTGTGTGTGTGTGTGTGTGTGTGTGTACGACTGAGACAGAAGGAATGAGAAAGTGTAGATATCTGAATCATCTAGACAATGTTGAGCTTTAAGATGCAGATGGCTTGACTCATTAACCTTCAACAGTCCTCGCATTTTTTTCATAAGACGCAAACAGCGGACACAACAGTGCAAAGGCCCAAGTACAAAGAAAGTTGAAGAAACACAAGTAGTTACATACAAGAGCACACAGATTCCGCATTGCACTCCAATAACATGAGTCATGTTTCCATCTACCTGCCAAGCCAATTTGAAGCCAACTTTTGAAATGTCTCCAAAGCATTAACTGCTTTGGCAGTTATAAACTAGAGCTGCAAAGTGTCATCAGAAGGTGGCAGGATGGGCTATGTTATGCATGGCTCTAATAAACAGAGTAGAAGAAGCCCGAAACAAAACCAGTTGTTTGCCAACTGAAGAAACAAACAACTTTGGCCATCTACGAGAGGAAAATGAAAGGACGTCTTCTGGAATTGTCATTAATCGAAAAACCTGTCATGGTATTTTGATGTCAGCTGGTACTGGCCATGTTTTGTGCTGTTTAGAGGTGAAAACAATGAAAGAAACAGGAGCAGCTGGTCAGTCACGTGAGTTAAAGGTGTCACCAACACAAATTCTAGCCATTAACTCTTTCTTTTTTTTTTTTCAAAACTGAGTAAGTTTTTTAAAAAATGTGTCTGTTTCTGCGAACGTTTTTCCAGTGTGACATTTTAATATGTGCATTAAAAGAAGACGTTACAGAAACACTGCTATTTTCTTCTCTTTTTTTAAAAAGTGATACAGCTAAAGTTTTTCCTTTCATTCTGTCTTCTTCCTTATCAAAGCTTGGTGTTTACATTACCCACAATGCAAATCAAGCATGCATTCCAATATCCATACTTCCATACTATATATTACAACAAAAAAACAAACAAACAAAAAAAAAAGCGTTGGTATGTCCTAATACATGATTTGACAAATGTGGTGTGCCGAAAATATGTCTCACAACATCCTGGCAGATTTCGCAGTGTGCAGGCCAGCATGCTTTTCTGGCCATTCTGACCCGCAAACAGTATCTCACACGAGCATAAACAACTTAAGCCAGCAAGAGTGACAGACAGATGACAGCTTATTTTGCACTATAGACTGCAACGGTCAAAGCTTAAGGTGCAATATTCATGCATATTGCATGAAACAGTATGTACTGTGAGGGCAGCTGTGGTGCATACTTAAAGTAAAAAAAGAAAAAGTATGCGATGTGTGACTAATGTAGCCTCAAGCCTACGGAGGGCAACAGAGGTCAAGTGAGCTCACCTCTCTCTGACTCCACACCTCCACATTCAATTCTGAACTTGCCATCCTGAGCTCCAACTGACGACGACCCAAGGGACATCTCTTGAGGTAATTTATCAGATTTCATGCAGCTCCCTCTGGCCACTGAAGATTTTATACAACTTTTTGTCTCGCATGTACTTCCCAACATGTACAAAGTATCCTCTACTCGAAAAAAAGATGTCATTGCTGTCATGGAGTATTCTGCTTTCTGCACTTGCTATTCCATTTGTAAAACATTTGGGCCATCCAGCAAAGTTCAGATGAGTTGGTCTTTGGTCGCTTGGAAGGTGTTCAACCACGGAGGATTAAGGGATCGGAGGAAAGAAGGAGAGTGAAATGGGGGGGAGGGGTTGTGACTGAAGGAGGTACACAGGACCCCTGTGTACGTGCATCCTGCTGTATGTGTGTGTGTGTTGTTTGACAGTGTCTGTGTGTGAGAAGTCAAGCGGAACCTTGCAAAGACTCTGAATATGGATGAGGAAGCTTCAGTCCCACATCAGCCAAATGTTCCTGCTGCAACTTGATTCAACTTGAGACACAAACCAGTAGGTGCATGTACGAGCACGGGAAAACGCACACACACGCACACAGTCCTGAGCATGTGTGAGTCCAAACAGAACTTTAAATTGACTTTTGTCACTGGTGGCCATGATGCCACCACTGCTTTCACTTGGCAGCACTACTACACAACTTGGCAGCACGCATGCTTTGATGTGAAAACAGCATTACTCACTGCAACCCCGAAGAAATATGCTGCCAACTGAAACTAATGCGTCATCGCTTTTAGATGCCGTCTTTGTGCTCGCTGGATTTGTAGAAGAAAGAAATTGAGCAAATAGTTAATGTAGAAAATCATACATGTATAATTTACATACACCTTTTGCTTTAGTATGTGAGTAGATAAGTGTGGAAGTGCAGGAAATAGGAATGTGAATGTGATTCACCCCTTTCTTCAAATATGCCCAAAGGCCAGCGGGAAGAGAGCAATACACAGGATATTAAAGCGTAGGAGGAATTTATGAATGAATTACATCACTTTATGAGTATTTTTTTTTTTGGACGAGACATTAGCTGATGTGGAGCCGATGACTGAAAACTGCTCCAACAACTGAAATCTTGCAAGTTTGATTCACACAAATCACTTAATAAGAAACTGTTTTAATATTTTGTCTTTCTAGACATTATCATTATACCTTATAACATTCAAAACTGTTCATGAAGTGAATCATTTGCATTCAGCAGACAGGTTGATAAGACATTGGAGGCATCAGTATCATAAAGCAATTGGCTGAGTGACAGCAGGTTATGAAGAAAAAGAAATCAGTGATCAAGGGGGATTTCTTGCAAACTCTCTGCTGACAAAATATTAAATCACAGCTTTAGTTTGATCAATTCCTTCCACCAACTATTGACAAAAAAAATCTCTGATTTGATTTAAAAAAAAAAAAAAAAAGCAACCACATGGTCACATTTCAGAGACAAACATGCCAACATATATTTATATAATCTTGTTTTTCTAACATACACAAACCTCTACAACCTGCACAAAAGTCTCATTTCCTCTCAATCCCACTGAGGGAGCTCTAATAATCAATCGGGCATTTGGATTAAATTGGAGGCGGAGGGGATGTGTGTGTGTGTAGATGGAGGAAGAGATGCAGCAGGCTAAACTAGGGAGATGAGGTAAAAAATAAACAGAAGTGAACGAGCGGTGTCAGAGACTGGCAAGAAACGGAGAACGCAGGCAGAGCGAGGAGCCGAACACACTGACAAAGAAATTGCAGAGCGAACTTTGAAGAAGTTTCCAAGTTCACAAAGTAGCTCCCGAATTGTGCTTTTGTTCCATCTCCAACTATTCATTTCCTTCCAAACCATTTCTCCCTCCAGCTTCGAGAACACCCCTCTTATCTACCTTTCCTCTTCCTCCATCCCTCACTTTATCGCTCTCAATATTTATCTCTTGGGTTGATCTCCCTTGGAAGGCCGGAGAGGGGTCTGCAGTTTATGCCTGCGCTGTGCTCCTGCAGACTGGTAAACTGGAGCTGAACTTTCAATACGTGAGCCAAAGTGATACAACTTCACAAACTGAAGAGCATACTGGGGCAAATTGGGTGCAGAGTGTTTGTAGTTTGATGGTTATAGAAGTGGACCAGCGACTGGAGGATTGCCAGTTCAATCCCCCAGGCAGAAAAATCTAAGAATGTGATGAGCACTAAGAGGCCTCCCTGAGATTTCAAAGTAATGCCGTCTTCACATGCTAAGGACCACATCAGACCTGCTTATATTGTCGAGATGCAGATTTTTTTCATGTAACCAGTGACGTCTTTGTCTCCTGGTTAATGCTGGTAGACATTTATGAGTTGATCAATGTGAAAGCATGGCATTTGTAACCAAGAAAACCAGGGTTGAACTCCCGGGTTCACAAAAAAAAAAAAAAAGACGTTATAATCAAGCCCACAAACTTTGGAGACAAGCTCCAAAGTCTGTATGAACTCACAGAAGTGGAATAAAAAATAGAGTGATTGGAGAGAAGGCTCCTCATCTAGTCTTCCATTAGCTAGAGGCGCCCTGCATTTTAATAAGTGCTGGTGTGATTTTAGGACTCTGCCCTGACTTCATGTGTGTGAGTCATTTCCATTTCATATCGCTGAATCCAGGCTCTGATCAGATGCCTTTTGATTGCAATGCCATATAATTTTCTGCAATGTATAATTTTATTAGCATTTTTTTCTAAAGTAAAGTGTAAGAACACCCCTACAACAAAAGTAGTCTCGCTTGATTGTTCCTCTGAGCTCTCTGAGTAGTGCATAGTTATGACCTCACACATATGAGAGATTTGGAATTAAAATTAGAAACCATAAATATAGAAAAGGAAGTCGCACAGAGAAACATTTGTAATCTTGTAACTTGAATAGATCTTAATCTTATTAGATAAAGTGCAGCACCGTATGTAATTTTGTCCATTACGTGTGTATACATTCTTTGACCTTTCCAGTCTACTCGCCTTTAACACAGCTCTAATTAATAATCAAAGCACGTTGGAACAAGTTTCCATGTTTAAAGTTTTGGTGTGTGGAGGAGGCAAATGTCCGCTCACATTAGAGAAAACGGACACTGCTGTTCCTCTGAGGAATGCCAATTTATTCGTCAAAAACATTGAACATACTGTATGTTTGAGCAGCATGGTTTACATTAACAAAGGCCACCAGGGAAGAACTGACTTAAAAGGGTCTGATAGATCTACTGTATGTCGAACCACACAGGGAGTTTCTAATTAGATTATTTTCAGTTCACTTAGTTCGCCCTTGTTTTTCACTTAAATCATCTAATTCTGCTGTATTTATGATATACAGAGTGTTCGCAAAGTTCTGACTTGTAACACACACCGAGGCAACGGAGGTGCCCACACATCCACAGTTAGAGAATAGAATAATCCACAGTTGTACTTTACATTGTTCGCTCTGAAATATATTAAGTCTCTTTCTGCCTACACATGTGCACAGACGCATATAAACACGAAGAGATATTTCCAGCAGAGAGACAAGTGTGGAGCTTGAGTCCTTTGATAACAACACCACTTATTTTAATCAGCAGATAACTGCTCCCTATTATTTTGTATTTTACTGTTTTTTTTTTAAATTCCTAGGATTCTTTTTAATTTCCAAGCCTTTGTTTTTTTTTTTCCACTTTCCATCTCCCTCTTTCTTCTGCATGAGTACTCATTGCTAATAAAAAGCTGTGAATGTGTAATTCAAAAAGAAAGGAGAGCACACTAAACTGCAGGCATGAAAACGCACATTATGACACTCACTTTTGCACAAAGGCATGTTGATGGTGTGCACAGATTGTCGGTTAGTTAATAAAAGCCTGGTTTTTGTTTTTTCTTGTTCTGAAATTTCAGCGAAACAAATCAATATAAGAAATACTTACATTATGTACACAAACACACACCTGTGACTAGAGTCTGTGGAGGCTGGAATGCAGCACAGAGAACATCGCCGCGATGTTGAACGCCCCCCTTCCACTCAGAGGGCTCAACAAAAGGCTGCGAGAAGGAATGCAGTCGGAAAACTGTTAGCATCCTGTGGAGACAAACACAGACAGGAGGAGGTGGTGAGAACTGAGAAAGATGTGTGAGAACGTACCACATGTATCAATTTAATAGGATTTCTGAATATACGAGGTGTGTCCGAAAAGTTCCAGGACTGGTGTCACAAAAGATGTATTTTAAACCCAAATTACAAATTACAAGTTTTCCCCGTCAGACGATCAACCAGCATGTCTACAAAAAGATCCTGCATAGTTTGCTTCATTCAGAGCGCGAGAAGAGGCGAGAATTGGAGCAGGACAAGTCATGGCTGCTTCACCATGACAACGTGCCTGCTCACAATGCCCTGAGCATCTGACAGTTTCTGGCTAAGAAGAACATCGCCGTGCTGGAGCAACCTCCCTACTCACCCCACCTGACGCCGTGTGTTTTTGTCCTTTTCCCCAAGCTCAAGGGGGTCATCAAGGGGACCCGTTTTGAAGACGTGGATGACATCAAGATGGCTGTGACGACCGAGCTGTGGAGGATCCCAGAAGAATCCTTTCAGGAGTGCATGGTGGCGTGGCAGAGAAGGCTGGGAAAGTGCGTTTGACACCAGGGGGATCACTTCGAAGGGGAAAACTTGTAGTTTGGATTAGAAATATATCTTTTGTGACACCAGTCCTTAACGTTTTCTGTCACACCTCGTATTATTGAACATGTCTTTATGGACCTTACTTTGTGCACTGGTACACAGTCATGCTGGAAGAGAAAGGGGCCATCTCCAAAGTGTTCCCACAAAGTTGGGAGCATGGAGTTGTCTAAAATCTGTTGGTATGCTGAAGCATTCAGAATTCCTTTCATTGGACCTAAGGGCCAAGCCCAGCTCCTGAAAAACAGCCCTACACCATAATCCCCCTTCCACCAAACTTTACACTTGGCACAATGCAGTCAGACGAGTACCGTTCTCCTGGCAACCGCCAAACCCAGACTCGTCCATCAGATTGCCAGATGGAGAAGTGCGATTCATCACTCCAGAGAATGCGTCTCCACTGCTCTAGAGTCCAGTGGCAGCGTGCATTACACCATTGCATCTGACGCTTTGCATTGCACTTGGTGATGTATGGCTTGGATGCAGCTGCTCTGCCATGGAAACCCATTCCATGAAGCTCTCTACGCACTGTTCTTGAGCTAATCTGAAGGCCACATGAAGCTTGGAAGTCTGTTGCAATTGACTCTGCAGAAAGTTAGCGACCTCTGTGCACCATGCGCCTCAGCATCCACTAGGGTTAGGGTTGCCACTGCAGGAGTGGGGTCTATCACTTCGTGGCTGAGTTGCTGTCATTCCCAATCGCTTCCACTTTGTTATAATACCACTGACAGTTGACAGTGGAATATTTAGGAGCGAGGAAATTTCACAACTGGACTTGTTGCACAGGTGGCATCATATCACAGTACGACACTGGAATTCACTGAGCTCCTGAGATTGACCCAGTCTTTTTACAAATGTTTGTAGAAATAGTCTGCATGTCTAGGTGCTTGAATTTATACAACTGTGGCCATGGAAGTGATTGGAACATCTGGTTTTGGTTATCTGCATGGGTGAATGAAAACTTTTGGCAATATAGTGTACATGTAGCCCCGTAGCAGTTTAGACCAAAAACTCATTAGAAAAATGTCTACAGAGGTAATAAATCAAGAGAGAGTTACATTCGTTTTCTCACTGGCTTCCATTCAATTTGACTTCTTCTTGCAAATGAAGAGTCTTCCCCTACTGGCCATTAGTCAGAATGCAGTTAAACACTTAAACATTGATTTCACTTAACCCGGGACGATGAAACGCAAAATGTACCAGTGACAGCGATCAATTCAACAAGTAAATATTTTGATAGAATGTTCAGTAGTTTCACTCAAAAGTATTAGATATGAACCGCCATGAAAGCATATTGGTTCGGTCAATAGTGCTATGTTTGTGTGGGTAGGTTTTGTGAGTCTTTCTGTCTCTTTCTCCCTCTGTTCAGGTTACTGTGCCTGTGAAGCAGCTTCTGTGTGAGTGACTGGGTGCACCTGTGGCCACTCATTAATCCACCTGAAGCTTAAAAGCCAGGGTGCTCTACTCACGGTCCCCAGTGGGACCATGTGGCAGCTACTGAGCTGTTTGGAGATGTTTGTTCTCATCTAGACCTAAGGTGTGTGCATTTTTCAAACCAGCAGATGTCACTTTTTTGTGAAGAAGTTTGCTTTAAGATGCCTTATTTTCAGTTAAATGTGAATAAATAACTTGTTTTCAATCCATTTCTCCTACTTTTCCCAAGTTTAAATACTGTCTCTTGCTACTCTTCAGATCGACTAGATTCATGGGGAAGTAACGCACATAGCAAAATCACAAAGTTTGGTTAAATGAACAAGTACCAAGCGTACTCCATCCCGGGCTAATTACAGCCTATCATATCCCTTGGTAGTGGAACATGCTCCTCGCTATCACTCTCCCTGCTGGCTTCCCTGCAGGTATCCCAAGGCAAGCTAGTCCATGGCTGCCTAGGCCTATCATCTGTGCCTGTAGCCTTCCCAGTCGAAAAACATTCATGACCCTTAGTCCCCAACCACTTCTTGATATAGGGGTCAGTGCGGAGGCATGTGTGGGGGTCTCCGTCTGACGATACCTGATTCAGATTAGCCACTAGGAACCTGACTCTATGGTGTGACAGATTCACCTTGGTTGCCCTCCGTTTGCCTCTGTGTTTTACTTGCTCTCGGTGTTGACTGTGTCTCAAGGTAAGATCAGCTCCTTAAAAATGATAACAATTATCAATAGACTGACATGAAAACTATTATTGTGATTAATTTTGCAGCTGTAATCACGCGGTCCTAGTCCCCCGTCAGGCCCTGAGGATACATCTATCTTTTATGTACAATTCATTACCCCAACTCACCTTTTCCTGACAGTTCAAAGTTAATTTTATTAATTATATATGAACACTACGTGTTAATGTTAATTAAACATCAGTAACAGTAATGTCAGGTTGCAGTATCAGCAGCAACAGTAGCAGTGTCTAGAAATATTAGTGGCAGCAGTAGTAGTAACAGTACGATTTGTAGTAGTAATAGTAATATTATTGGCATGGCTAATCGGCATTAGCAACAGTAGTAGTAACAGTAGTAGTAGCAGCAATATTCACAGTAGTAGAAACAGTAAGTAAATTAGTAACTACAGCAACTGTAGTAGTAGTAATAACATTTGCAACTACAGTAATAGTGATAGCAGTAGCAGTATAATTAGCAGAAGTAGTCTAAGTACCAACATTTCAACTGAAATTTGAACCAGTGACATTCTGATTTCCACCCATAAAGAAAGAAGTTCTCGCATCTTGGACCTGAACTAAATGGGACAGATTGTTTCCAGCAGAGATTTCTTTGGACTTAACAATAAACAATTCATTATTTATCGCGTTCATTGTGTTTTCCCAGCAACAGATCCAAGCTCTGCTGTACACCTGCGATGCACCAAAACGGTGTTCGTAATGAACATGGAGGCCGTTCCTTTACACTAAAGTGCTACAGGGGACATCATGAATATGTAACACTTTAATATTCATCATCTCATGAGGGCTTTTAGCACACCTGCAATGAGTTCTGCTTCTTTAATCTATTGTCCTATGTCACTACAGCACTTTTTCCTCTCATTGTTGTGCAGGTACAAAATAAAATAATGATGCACTATGGTTTCAAACCGAGGAGTACGTCTATCAGTGGGATGTGGATATTTTCAACCTGCGTGAGATCGTTTGAGCAGCAGAAAGCAATAGCGCTTTGAATTAGATGCCATGCGACACCTCACTATATGGATTAAACTGTGGTCTAGGTTGATGTGAAGAAACAGGAAATTATATGAGTGATGAAAGTCATAACGACACTATTTTCTTTTACTGCTGCTGATCTGTCGTCTATGTTCTCTTTACCACTGTGACGCCCCAGAGAGCAAGAAAGTGAGTGTGTGTATATGTGTGTGTGTGTGTGTGTGTGTGTAGGTGTGGGAGAATGTGTGGAGATGAGAGAGACAGACAGAAAGAGAGGAAGTCATATAACTTGATGATAGCACACTGCTGAGTTCAGCTCACTGGGTGTGAAATGATGATGATGATGATGATGAAGAGCAGATGTGATGTGGTGTATACAAAAAACACCCACACCCCCTCTCGCACAAATATGAGGTAGTGATAGTAAAGCGCATGTGAGCACCCTGGAGCGTTCTGACTTGTTAGGGTCCAGATGTCTGGTTGGCTCCAAGTTGTTGGCAGGCAGACAGAGCAGGAAAGCACAGAAAGAAACAGACACACAAACACATTTATACCTCCGTCTGTGCGACCACACTCACAGATATAATGCATCCTCCTAGATCTTACCTTAAGCTAAACCTCATTTAATCCTAAACCCAAGATTTAACTCAATGATGTGATGTCTGAAAGGAAAGACTTTTTCTTAAAGTTTGAAACACAAACTGGCCCTTGCAAAGATAAACTCACCCTCACATTGACTTCCATCCACAGTATGCAAACATTCCCAATCATTTGCACATTTTTCAAAACCATAAAGCATAAAATGCTAATACAGTTAAATACACACAGATATAGTACCTTTCCCAGCCCATCACCAGTATGCTCCTCTTCAGCAACAACACCTGTGAGATGTCCACGGCCCGACCCAACCCGGCGTTCATTCTGTGGAGGCAGCGGCCGTTGAAGTCCCAGACCTGAAAGACAGCCAAAATGACACTTAGACGCACCATCACAGCACTAAATGGGTTTAAATTCCATGAAAACCCAAATATCAACAGAGAACATTATTCAGCCTGTCGTGTTAATGCTTGTCAGGAAATTTACCAAAGTGAAAGTCAATGTCAAATGGATTTAGAAAACACATTTAAAAACACCAAGAGTTGAAACAAAGTGCTGCACAACTAAAACAGCAAACCATAAAACACAATGACCAGAAGACAAATGTGAATATGTGAATGTGAAATCCAAGTACATCTGCTTGGTTGATCTCTGTTCAGAGGTGTGATGATGTACTTCTGGTAAATAAGATGGTGCCAACCCATTTAAAACTTCAATAAACAAACTGTAGAATATTTAAATCAATTCTTAAATAGACAGGAGGCCAATAAATGGAGGCTTATACTAGTGTTACGTGATCAGGTGTATTTTTTCATCATTCATTTTATACCAGCTGCAGATACAGAAGAGACAACTGTTTTACGCCAACATGCAAGGAATTACAATAGTCCAACCGAGTGGCGAAAAAGGCATGAGCAACTTATTCACATTATTTGGAACCGAAACAGGCCTTCACCTTGGATAAAAGCCCTCATTACAAAAAGGTCAGTAGTAATCAAAAAATCATTGTGATCACTGAGCTGATCTGTCTGTCAAATTTTAAGGAACTTCCATGTATCCCTCCAAGGGCTTTAACAAAAAATGATTGTATGAAAGAGTTTTAATCTATCCAGATTTTATATTTGTTGAAAAGCCCTGCAAATACTCTATTGTGTCCTTACTTTTATTTTTATGGGAAAATAGTTTTGTATATTGACTGCAAAAACAACAAAAAGGAATCTTGTGTTTCTTGAAAATGAACCTCAAGATTATGTATAATAACAAGAGGATGGGTCTTAAAATGGAGCCCTGAGGGACCCCACAAGTAAGCAGGGCAACAGTCCAAGAATAATCCCCCAAGTGAACCAATTAGCTCCCGTTTCTGATATGACTTGAACCATTTGAGGAGTCTTCCTCTGATACTTACACATAAGGTTACAAAATCACTTTATCCATTTTTATTTAAAAACAAATATATATATATCTATATATATATATATTATTTTTCTGCTTGATTTGCATTTGAAAGAACTGACTAAAGAAGTAGTGACATAGTTATAAATAGAGAATGGGCTTTTGTTCCCATTGAGCAGGTAAGCTCCTATCCTAGAATACATGAATCCACTACAACAGTCAGGTAATATTTCGTATCGTCTGTCCAATTTCACATGATGACGCAGTTTGTGTTTGTGGCATTTAACAAAGAAACACTGATTGGCTCGATGGGGACGCTGTAATTAAAAGGTCAAATTTCAGATTGTGAATGGCCCTAACTGCTGCACACCAGGTTCAATGTTGATGAAAATTAGAGAGCTGATGCATCTTGTTGCTAATTGGCCCAAGGGGTGCCTGCTTCCTCTGCTTCGGGTGACGTTAGCAGTTATTTCAAATGGCAATGTGAGTATATCTGATGACGCTGGCACATGCACAGGATGCACATGGCTGCATTCTCACAAGGACTCATGGGGTCAGAGAGTTGATGTGGTTGATTATATTAATTACAAAAATGCCTAATTATTTTATTTTTCAGTTAAGAACTACTGCAGTAAGCTTGGAATCATTATGTCTCATTTTAAACTGTGGCAAAATACTCACAGGACGTCATGTTTGAAATAGTGACCATATTTGAAAATCTGGAGGACACAGGTTCTTGCAGTGCACATGGACACACACAGAAATCAAGGGTAGACCAACAGCATGACAGAAAGTTTGCTAAAATATGAAAATGTGGAAGGAATAAGTCAAAGACACTAAATGATGCACAAGTATATTTTAATTCTATTTGTCTCATGGCATATATGTACCATGTGAGTTAAATGGTATGGTGTGCAAAAAGGAGTAAGTGATATGAATGAAGCTGTAACTGCATAAATGTGATTGGTTTTACATACTGAAATTCTAGAGCTGCAACGCTTAATCGATTAGCTCTTAACTATTAAATTAACCAACAGCAGTATTGATAATCGATTACCTAGCTTGAGTAATTTATAAAGAAAAAAGTAAAGATTATCAAATTACAGCTTGTTAAATTTGAAAATGTTATGGTGTCTTACTTCCTGTGTGACAGTAAACAGATTATTTTTGGTTTGTGGACAAAACAAGTCATCTTGAGCATAGGAAAATGCCATTTTTTGACATTTTATAGACTAAACAACACATTTTAAAAAGTGATCAACAGATGAGTCAACAATGAAAGTCATTGTTAGTTACAGCTCTATGATATGCATCATGATATTGTAAAGTTTCTGGAAAAAAATATGCTGAAAACTGTTCATGAATAATTAAAAAAAAAAAAAGCAAATAACGTTTTTGTCACACAATCTTTTTAAAAGTCATCATTTATCCTGCTCAGTGACAGATACACAGCTATAGTGGCCTATTAACAGCCAGTGATTTGAATGGGATAGTTACATGATGTGACGAAATATATGCCGATGTACAAATGTATATCGTCTTGCAGCATATATGCTACAGCCTGTCTCTAACGTAAGGCAACTTGCAGACAAAAACACTGAAAATTAAACACATTTTTTAGTACACTTGTGTCAGATGCCAAGTCGTTAAAGCCTCAGCACATTTGGACACTGAAAAAGGACTTTATTTTGGCTGCACATTTGTTTATTTTGATCTGTTTCATAGGTATAGTTACAAAGAAATGTTTTCTAAAAGTCTACTTTTTCCACAGCTACTTCTTGTATTTTTGCATTTTAGTTGGGAGTTTAAGATGCATGGCTAAACGAAGGTGCATGTGCCCGTCCACCTACTTTGACCTCTCCGTCAGTGCCTGCAGTAAACAGCCGGGTCTGAGTGCCATCCAGGGCTATGGTGGAGATCTCTGCGTTGCCATGACAGCGGTGGAACTGTTTGACCTTTTGACCTGTGCCAGCCAGCCAGCAGATCACAGAGGAGGCAGAGTCGCCGCTGACTACCTGCACAGAGAGACAGAGTGTGTGTGAGGAGGGGGGATATCAATCATCAACGGTCTGATTTTTATTTATGCTGCGAGAAAGTCAGATTGCACTGATGTGTTCTTAAATTACTCTCACATAACCAAACCACTCTCCACGTTTTGTCATTCTCCACTTTATTCAAATGCTAAGCCTCCACTGAGGAGAATATGCAACTAATGCTGCTGTTAAGTGGGAACAAAAGCCAAAAAAAAACAAAAATTGCAGAGCGGAGGCACTTTTTAAAATGAGAGATGTTCATAATGGATGCATTAGCTAGTTTTTCACTTGTGTGGGAAACTGGGTAAGTCATATAGTAAGCTGCAGAACAGCTACTAAATCAACACTTGTTTTACTAACTGCTTACTCTAAGGTCAAGAAGGAATTTAAAACTCAACAACCGTACAAATCATCGGAAACTGTAAAAAGATTTTTTTAAAAACATACCTGTCTAAACAGGCTGTTATAGAGCACACAGGTAACTGGATGTTCGTGGCTGCTGATCCTCTCCTCCTTCACTGTCTCCAGCAGGAGAAGAAGACTGTTAAAGGAAAGCAGGAGGTGTTGACGCTCCTCGTGCAGAAATAAGAGTGTGTGTGTGTCCTCCTGCGTCTTCGGGAAGACATCTGCCAGACGGTGAACACACAACTGGCTGGACACGTCCCACAGACAGAGCACCTGGACAGAAGATAAAGGAAAGGGCCTTTATGTGTGTGTTTGTAAGTGCATAATTACCCACATGCACTGGGAAAAAAAACATATAAATACTGCTAAAATCCAATTAGTGCCACAATAATTTGGTATTAGCATACCAAACAGATACATCATTATCAAGAAGAATTGCTTCTCGAGCTGTCTCTGTGCTGCAGCGTTAGAGGTACTTAGTCAGAGTTGACAAGAACTCCGCCATATTGCTTTACGGCACAAAACAAGATGACTGCCGCTGCTGAAGGAACTCTTCCAGAGGAGGCTGAGGTAAAGCCTTCAGAGTTTCTTGCGGTGGCAGATGGTGTTTGAGCAAAAGGCAGATGGAACATAAATCACTTCTAAAATATTCATTCTCTTCAGAAAAGCCAAAGAGAAGGCAAACATGCACAGTGCTACAACAGAGAGAGGAAAAGCAGCACCAACATCCTCTTTGCATCAGAAAGAAGAGTTTAAAGGAAATCTTTATTTTGAGAAACAGCAGCTCACAATGGCAGCAGTGTGAAACAAGCTGCAAATCATCCACACCTCCTTGCTTTATGGTAATTCTAGCGAGGAATCACAATTAATAGTACAACTACAGAGTTCTTTATCTCCACATTATCTGTTGTAGCAGACTGCTGCGCACAGACACATGCTCCTACCTTATCTTTGGAGTAGCTGAGCAGTTGTTGCTTTGCCTGCGTGAAGTGAACTGCGGTGACGGGGCCTGTGTGCCCACTGAGCACACACACTGGCTCTGAGGTCACGTAAGGGTTCCACAGCAAGACCTGATGATCCACACCTGCTGTGGCTACAACCAATCAGAATGTCGCAAATTAGCAGAGGCATTAACCGTGATTAAACCCGGGAAACCACACTGTTTTTATCCCCCCCGACTACCAAGTCAGTGTTCAATGAGGCATTTGACAGTTTTGATTAAGTATTCTTGGTACATTTAGTTTGATTGATTGACAACTGTGAACCCATTCACAGTTTTAGAATTGTTTTTTAACCATGTACACATAGAATAGAATAGAATAGAATAGAATAGAATCATTTTTATTCTTATAATTTTTATAGAAAGTAGGTAGGAGCCGCTGTAACTGGCTGCCACTCTCACAGCACCATAGCAACAAAAAATATATGTACAGTATATTGTATTGAACATACATTAATTTTCCCTGTTCAATTTTTGTTTTAATTTAGATTAAGGGCTTAACCCTCTGCAGCCCCAAACCCACCAGCAGGTTTGAAAGACATGTTATTGTTTTTAAAAACACCTAAATTATACCATTTTATATGAGACAGGAACTTGAAAAAACTGAAATAATTGTCAGATTTTTTACTTTGCGTTGAACTACCTACTTGTGACATGCTGTTCCACAAACATAACTAAGTCTAAAATTAAAATTGGGATATTTCAGCAAAATCTACATGCTTTGTTTTAAAATGTACCCAAAATTATTGACTGAGCTGCAACCAATTAGCAAAAAAATTGCAGACCTGTTGCCTAAACTAGACTGAACTGCTGGTTGTGTTTGTACAAAGAAGATAAGAGAAAAGTATGGAAACAAATTTTAAAACTGTGAGTAGGAAGACATCTGTAGCATCTGGAGTCGCCGTTTATTTTTCTTAATTGGTAACAGCTGTGATCACTTAGATAAAATATGTAAATGTTGATTCAAGGTTTTTTCAATTTTGTAAAATAAGTAAACAAAGAAAATTAACTTTCTTTCCGTTTTTCTTCTTATTTTTGTGAGTTATGGCATTAAGGCTGAAACTTTTAGGTTCTCTCTACTTCTGTCCATGGTTGTGCTGTTTCCATAGAGGTGAAAGACTTTATACTACTGCAATGCAAAATGAGTCCACAGGGAATAAAAATGTGTCAGGATGCAAAACAAGTTCAAATGGATAATGGACAGTGCCATATTTTGTTGAGCTTTCCATTTAGGGCTATAGAAATAAAATATAAATGTCTTAAGGTGAATATGAACAAATATTCAATATTACATCATATGTATTATGAACATACTGTAGTCTAGGAAAACAAATTTGCCCTCACCTATCAGACTGAGTCCACAGTGGTGGTCCACATCCCAGACACCCCTCTTTGTAAAGAAAGAAGTGACTCGTAGACTCCTGCTTTCCTTTTCCCTCCAGCCAATCACCATGCTGCTCTGTGGCCTGGTGCAGCACGACACAAAGGCCTCAAGTGAGCCCAGGTAACGTACTGCAGGGAGCATGAAACAGTCACATGGTGAAAGTAAATTAGGTGTGAAATACTGTAATTATCTTTATTACATCCAGGAGGGTGAGCAACACTGAGAAAGAACAAGCCTGTTCATGAAGTCAATTTGAAACTGCATCTGAAAAAGTAAACAAACACAGTGTTTAATTAACAATTTAAAGGTCTTGTGTGCAAAACTCAGGAGTTCTGGAGTGTGCCACAGCGCTCGCATCTCAGACCAAAACAAACTGGCATATCTGGCACCAATCCTTGACTCTTACTTACAACCAGAAAGTGTGTGTAGGAGAGCTAATAAAACAATCCAGCCACAACCATTAGCCCACGGTAGCACTGTAAAATATATTAAAAGACCTTAGCGAGTTGTTATCAAGTCCTGTTATTTTCACTTCACCTATCTGTCCTCTTTGCATGTGTTCGTTCCGCTCCATATGTATCCGTTTCAGTTTGTCAGATCGGAGCACTTGACAAAGCTGAAGATTCATTTGAATCAACAATCCAAAGTTTCCTTTGGATTCCCTCTGCGCAAGCAGTCAGCAACAGTGTGAAGCAACCAAAAAATAAAAACCTTTAACAAGAAGTAAAAAAAATGACAAATTGGACCGAACCAGGCACAGGGAAGGTGGATATCTGCCTCAATCGGTCAGACACATATGGAGCAGAGTGGAACAGACACGAGTGTAGAAGGAGCAGCCAAAGAGCCTCATAACAGCAGCAGAGAGTCACACTGAACTGAAATTAAACGATTGCACATAAATTATATAAATGACATAAAATAAAACACTCTTTCTCTCTCATTCTAAGTCTGTTTATCAGCAGAGGGAGGGCCAACAGTTTTAAGAACATGAACTAACACGCACATGCAGCAGCAAACACACACACACAGTCTGACATCATCACTCCACTATATCTTCACATAGCAGATAGCTGTTTTATGCTATATTAATGCTATATTTATGTCCAAATCTTTCATATTGCACCTTAAATTAACTTTCAGTCTGTATACTAATTTGTATATTGCTGTAAATCTCTGCATTACTCGTGAGAACAGCAACACAAACGGATAAATTAAAATGCAGAACTGAACAAAATAATTCAATGTTTATATTTCACAATGACTACAACTGACTTGTATTTATCTTTCTTTGTCTGCATCTGAGGTTTGAGACAATCCAGGAAAACCTTTATGTCTTGGAGAAATTGTCTTGATAGAAAGGAGAACAAACTCAATTTAAGAGAAGGAATCCGAAAACAATCATAAGCGAGGGCCGCTGGCTTCCAAACAGCCCCACTGTGTCGAGCAACAACGCAGCACAAACCACTGGTAGAGCAACGAAATTGGTTTTAACCTCAACAAATTTAATGTAAAATAACATTGCAACGTTTTGATGATGACACACGGTTCATTTTATTTCATTTCTTCAAATTAGATATTTCTGCCGCTGATGCCAAAATGCTTTTACTACAACAACTCAAAAGGATATCCACTTTCTGAAATGGCTGTGGTAAATGTGCAATGACCGCAGCCCTGCCGTACAAAAACCAAGCGATTCACGGGCGCTGAACGCGGCATAGAATTAGGCCGGTTTGATTTGCTCACTCGTAATACAGAAAATGTAATGGATCTTGCATCTCCATCTATCTCAATTAACACTTTGATTGAGAAAAACTAAATTGGATGCCACATGTCTCCATTAGAAGCTGCTTAGCTTTCAAAGACTGCACAAACAAGGGCTGGTTGTGAGATGGCATGTGACAGTCTTGGGTCAAAGATCGGCCGCATTGCTTGGACAAATAATTACATCTGATTACACTTCATACATCACGTCTTCTCTCCAGCCCGTGAATTAAAAGATCAGTGGATTTTCAGAGAGTGTCGCATGACTCATGATTGATTAATGTGGCCTTCTCTCGTTCATTGACACATACATATCACGCGGCAAATGAAACTATTTCTGCCTTCTTCAGTTTGTGCTGCAGCTAATATGACGCTTATAGAAAGAGCAGGAGTCGATGTATATCTACATCAAACCAACCTCTTTTTTGTTTAATGAATCGAAGCAGATTGTTATGTCACCTGCACCCCACCTGTTCATCCTCGGTGTTCTTTTTCATTTATCTGGTCTCAACAATACGAGGACACGTTGACACCGCTCTCTCTCTCTCGCAAACACACACTTCCTACACCTCTCCTTGCTTGTCCTTACGGGTCTGTGTCCATCCCAATTTCCTCCTAATTTCCTCTCAATTTCCCTCTCTGTTCCACCACACTCTCTCCTTCCCACCCTCCCTCCTCCCTCCCTCCCTCCTTCCCTCCCTCCTCTCTCTGGTGGCCCGTGAGCCCGAAGGTTTGGAGGTCTGGATAACCAGCCATGTCTAATGGTACACAGCCCACTCATACTGCAGGGTGGGAAACTTCAAAAGAACAGCACCAGCACCCCAGAGGTATGCAAACACACATATACACTCGCACAGACTCCATCCTTTCCTTTCTCACATGCTGAAAACACCACACACACACACACACACACACGACACATCTTAACATACACTCTCTCTCGACGCGCATGTGAGCACACAGGGGGTGAAATTTTCATGTGCTTTTAATGTTTTGCCATTGTCTCCTCTGTTTCCCTCTCTTTATTGTTATCCCTTTGTTTTCCCATTTGTTGTGCTTATTTATATGTACTTTAGTCTTGTTTTTCCCTTTTATCAGGATCCCCATTTTCAGCCAAGCTGGTCTCAGAGCGCTGCCTCTGCTGAATCATTATCAAACAGCCCAATAACTCTTCAGAGAGACTCTATCCGAATGATGCAATCGAGATAAAACTAAGCGGCCTCTTTGTTACCCCCACTGAGCTCAAGTGGGGAATCTCAGCGGGCCAGACCTCAAGTCCGTGACTTTATGGCAATAGCCAAAAGTCTGGCTATGAAGTGGACTCAGGACTCGCTTGCGTGTGTGTGCATCAGTGGCCGAGACACACCCAAGCATTTGCATGGTGTTGCATAAGCCGTTATTGTAGTGATACTGAAGAAGTGAGCAAGCGAGCTGGTGGCTCTCATCCCAGGTGTCAAGGTGAACCTGTGCGTAGTTAGCCCCGACGCCCAGAGTGTGCGCTTTCCCTCCGTCATCTGAGCCGCCGATTTTGTATTCTTGCTTTCGTTCTGTTCTGCTAATGAAAGCCATTTTTGACCCGAGGCTCCAGGTGAACGCAGGTATGCACAGGAATGACAAACAGCAGGATTTGGGCTCCCATCACCCAACATGAAACTCCAGTAATTTTCAAGCAGTCGGAGCAGCTTGATTGTTTTGCTTCTGGTCATCATATTGGAAGACGTTTACTATTGTGAGTGCTTTCTGCTGCCTCCTTCATTTGCATACAATATGAAATTGCAGATGTGTAAACAGAGAAGTTTGCACAGAGATGAGACAATAAAGAATGACAGAAACAATGACAAAGCTACAACAGAGGCACTCATTTGCAGAACGAAAATTAAGCCATCATCAAAAAGAGGTTAAAAAAAAACTGGGCTTATATCCACGTTTTTGACTCTTCATGTGGTGTGTTTGTGTAGTTTCTACCTTTTCTGACCCAGGCAGGCGCATGTGCTTGATGTGTCACAGTGTAACAGGAGCGATGCTTGCCTTTGACCAGCTCATCCCATAAGATGATGTCTGCTGAGTCAGAGTCCGTCTTCAGACTGAGTCTCTCAAACAGAGAGATCTGGGCCGAGGTAAAACATAAAGCACTGACCTGGGAGAACACACGCACACATGAACAGAGTTGTGGAGCAGTGAATACATGCAGATAATGTAGAACAATGAAGGAGTGTTCTGCCTCCCTTCTCTTCTCTCATTCCTTTATCCCTTTGCTTTTGTTTATCTGTGTATTACCTGTCCTCCAGTGTCTCCGATGGTGAGGACAGCCAGGTCAGGGTGAGAGGGATCCACCCAATAGTCTAGACACCAGGGAGTATACTTCAAGCCCTAGAGAAGAAAAGAAGTTATAACACAGTGCAACATCCAGACTGCAACAGTAGAGGCTAATATAATGATAGAGAATATTATATTTATTCATTTTTCAGACAAGGATTATGGCTATAGCTGTTACCTGGAGTTTATACTTGCAGCTGAAGTCCTGCTTTGATAATAAGTCATAAAAACACACCTCTTTACTTGTGAAAGACACAGCTATCTGTGAATAAGGGAAAATAAGCTTATTAGAAACAGCGAGACGTAGAGAAAAAAAATGCCTATTAATCTGATATAATAATGATTTTGCTATTTCCTATTCTGATCATTAATGCATAACTGAAAAATTTTCATGCAAGCTATTCGCCACAATTATATATGTCACCCATAATTCTGTAGATTAAAGAATCGCTAATTAAAAATAATGATCAATAATTGATGGTCTTATTACTAAAAAATGAATGTTTATTTTCTGAACTTCATGCCATAGCTTCATGTCTGCGATGCAATTAACCAAACCCACTGATCAATTATTAATTAATTGAGTGAAATACTTGTTTACCTCTGTGCATTACAATATCTGCCCCAATAACCAAGACTACACATTAATTATTAATTTTCAAATTCATTTCTATAAAAAACATTTTTTCATCTTTGCTGCAGGAACCAGAATGTGCCTGCATAGCTGGCTGCAGCACAAATAATCGATGGTTAGGTGTTAGTTACGCAGCATTCAGTAAGTGATCGGTTCACCTTGTGTATGTTTTGCAGTGGCACCATGTCTGTGACCCAGAGGTCTTTAGGTGCGACTGTGCTGTTCTGCAGTCGATGTGTGTGCACGAGGGACATGTCCTCTCCGTCCCGCAGCCCCACAGTTCCACCTCTACTCACGGTCAGATACTGACCTGAACTCTGCAGGTACAACACCTGGGAGACCAAAGGATATTACAAAA